TCTGTTTTTACACACTAATTTTTCTATAGTTAGTTCATATGTCACTTGTGTAATGAAAATTATGCAAATAATAAAATGGCAAAAAATAATAAACTCCCAGCCGTGAGTCTGACTTTCATAAGTATGGGCGTTTAGGAGGCAAGCCAAGTTCATTCCCACTTGAGGACCCTTAGAGTTAACGCTCAGCCACCCAGTGGGCAGCATCATGGCCAGGGTACCCTCCCCGCCAGCCCACCACACGCCCTGGGCTCAAGCGGCCGGCTGGCATGTGAGCCACGACCTGGGGGTCCATAGGGTGCGTGTGGGGGTGTCAGCCTCTGCGAGGGCACACATGCCTGGCCGTGTTTCAGATTCCACTTTAATGCCAAATATTTTCCTTTCAAAATGAACAATCACATAACCTTTTTGCACCTACAAATCATGTAACAGTTTACAGTGTTTTCATGACACTTTATTTCACTCAGTTTTAGAGATGGCAGGATTGATGGAAGACACACGAGCCCCAATCCCAGAAGGGCCGTGATGTGTACACCTGAGTCTCAGCTCTATCGTCTAGGAAACAGTGATAAACGGGATTATCATAGTGTTAAATAAGAGGCCGTTTAAAACACTTAGTTCAGCATCAGATACGTAATTCCTCAGTAAATGCTCACTGGGATTTTATTAAGTTTTCTGTAAGAGAGAATCACAGTAATGCAATGAGGCAAACAGGAAAGTGTCCTCATTGGAGAGACATGGAAAGTGGGCTCGGAAAAATCGCTCAGAGTCACAGAACAAAAACGGAAGCTGGTGTCTTACGTTCGATCATGATAGCTGAGAATTGAATCCACTGTTTTCCGAAAGCTGCGTTAGAAATTCAGAGTAGAAGATCAAAGTATGTGAATAGGAAGAAATAAACGCCAATTTCCAGATTTTTGTGTGTGCGCTGGATTGGAAAATGTCATCAAACAGCGGGTGTCCTCCGTCCTACAAACACAGACTGTAGAATAGGTTTTCTTACAACTGGAAAGGAGTAAAAAAGGACTGTTTGAAATTTGCATTCGTAACATTAAGGGACTGCCAGGTAATGAGTCAGTGGCACCGTTCCAAATGAAACAGGGCCGCAACGTAGCAGCAATTCCGGCCAAGAGATTCCGAAATCCAGCCATATGGGGAGGCCGATAAGGCCCCTCCTCTGGCCCGGCCCACGTCCTTAAAGACTAATACAGTCATCTGAGTCTAAGTTATTTTTGCTTACATCCACTCTCCCAGTTTCTCTTTCTCTCCTCCAATCTCTAGTACCAGTAAAAATATTTCGTGCCGTGTATGTGGTCTGTTCTCTTAGGAAAACAGTCTACTGTTCACCTTTGCATTTAACGCTGTTCTTACTCAATTGTTGGCTTTCCCCTCGAAATGTAGAGTGAATGCATAACTCGTTAGGTTTGAGTGGACCGGTCCAGGGCCTGTCGCTTCACGAAATGCATTAACCTGTGTGTTTTCGGTGTCTTTTCTCTTACAGAAGGCAGAGATTGCTATCGCCCCTCTGACAATCACTTTGGTCCGGGAGGAGGTCATCGACTTCTCTAAGCCCTTCATGAGTTTGGGCATATCTATCATGATCAAAAAGCCTCAGAAATCTAAACCAGGAGTGTTTTCCTTCTTGGACCCTCTGGCCTATGAGATTTGGATGTGCATAGTCTTTGCCTACATCGGTGTCAGCGTGGTCTTATTCCTAGTTAGCAGGTTTAGTCCGTATGAGTGGCACACAGAAGAGCCAGAGGATGGGAAGGAAGGACCCAGCGACCAGCCTCCCAATGAGTTTGGCATCTTTAACAGCCTCTGGTTTTCCCTGGGTGCCTTTATGCAGCAAGGATGTGACATTTCACCCAGGTTAGTTGGAAAACTCTTTGCTTCTTCACCAACTGCCCTGTCATTCTCGGTGTCGTGCACAACATCTCTCTACATGTTCTTTTCCCAGAGGCAGAGCGTTACTTTGAAACAAAGGGGGAAAAAAACACAAACATGCAATTCCCAGATTAATCTGAGTACCTTCATAGCCAGTTTTTCCAAGTTAGCACCAAATGTGGACACATCACAAAGATAAACTTTCCCAGCGGAAAAGTAACGTATGCAACCGCTCAGAACTTTCAGAAATCACGTAGTGTTAATATCTCCTTCAGTGGTCCGACAGATGGAAATGAAAATCTAAGTTGTCAGATTAAGAATTCGTTTTCATTTTGTCTCCTCTTCAAAATCGGAAGTTTTTGTTACTGTTGCTGTTGTTCGTTTTTTAAGAATTAATTTTGACCTCCATTTACATCCCATGTACCTTCCGGGAGATTTCTGCATGGACTTACCTAACACCTGAGTCAGTAGTGCAGGTACCAGATTACATTGCCCTGTGTAACAAAACATGAACTAAGTAAGCTGTGGGCCAACTCAGCAACGTCAATACCGTATTAGTTTAATAGACATGTTTTTCAATATCTATGGAGTCATGGCTCACTTCCTTTGGATGCCACTAGACATTTTTCAGTTATGTTTGCCAAAAATGCAGCCAATCTCCTGTTGCAAGAAAAATACCAAGCTTCTCCCACAGGAAAAATAACTGTGAGTAGGAGAAGCTATGAACTGAACGAACTTAAATATATGACTTATGTTAGCATCGCAAATATACAGATTTTAAAGAAATGTATGCTTTCTCCAAAAGAGACATTTTAGGCACAATGCACTCTGTGTTCCTTAAGACCTAGGAAAATTATAAATGTGTTTAAATTCCAAAAGCACAGAAATCTGAGTCAGTAACTCTAAATTAATGAAATGAAAAGAAAGCCAAGCAAGTCGTGGAATGGTTTCGAAAACCAGGATTAAGCAAATGCTAAGTTAAAACCAACAGGTGCCACTTAATAATGGTTAAGAAGGGAGAATTTGAAAGTTAGAAATGTCATGGAAAATATGAATTTTTTTCTTACATTAAAAAAAATGTTTAAAAATAATTTGTCCCAGGAATTTTAAAGTTTGACGGTCCCAGGGAGTGAGATCAATTATGAAAACGACCTGGATTTTTTTATTCATTCCATCCTCACTTTTCTTCCACATCCACATCACCCACACATCCCTGATACCAGGGAAAGGATGGGGAGAGAACTTCTTTCTTTAGAGGTTTAGCATCCGTTTTTAATGGTGTCACGCTGTGCGTTGACAAGTCCCGTGCTTTGGTCTCATGCTAGCAGAGAGAACGTGTTTATGGCGGTATGTAAAGCTGCATTTGGAGATAGCTCATCCTCCGCTCAGATCAGAAATGAAATATCAAGCAGACAAAACGCTCCCCAGCTGTGGTCGCTCTGAGACCAGTCTGAGTCCTCATCTGGTCCAGCCCCATTCTGTGTGCCCCACGCACCCCACGCGCCCTGGCAGGGCTCTGTGTGAAGACAGGTGCAAGTTCTCTCAGAAGGGCATCTGTATGAAATCAAAGACCTCACGCATTGTTAACACGCACTGCTGTTACATGTGCCGTGAAGACAGCAAAACCACGCCACTGGGTTCTGTCGCATCACCTGTAGGCTGCACCCCAATCCCAGAGACGCTAAAATGTGAAGGGGGGGGATATCAATGAATTTAAGTAAGTGTTCCTTTTCTCTACCTGAAGGAAAGGCATTAAGTTCCATGTTTCTGGGAATAAACAATAAAAAGGAAGCGTTTTCCATATTTTCAGTGGCATTCAGATTATACAGAAAGACTAGAATCATTCTTCAGTAGATGGACAGAAAATTAAACTGTAATTGCCATCGTGGTTTTAAACATACAGTGAAGTTATGATATTTCTTTTCTTTCTCTATGTTGGTTAGAGAAAGGAAAATGTGCATTATCTTATCCATGTTTAGATCCCTCTCAGGTCGAATTGTTGGAGGTGTTTGGTGGTTCTTTACACTCATCATTATATCATCTTATACCGCTAACCTCGCTGCTTTCCTGACGGTTGAGCGAATGGTCTCCCCCATAGAAAGTGCAGAAGATCTGGCCAAACAAACAGAGATTGCCTACGGAACCCTGGACTCAGGGTCAACCAAAGAATTCTTCAGAGTAAGTTAAGGGAAAAACTAACCATGAAATGTTCATAATTTTGAAATTCAGGCTGTTTACCAACAGTTATATTATGGGCTCTAGCTATTTGTAGGTTTTGCAAATATATATAATAGTGATGCTGTGTTTATTGCTAATACTTCTACTCGGCTTTTATAATCACTTTAGTTTGCAAAAGCTAACTAATTTATTCACAGTGCAAGAGAGACCCAAGGAAAAGTAATAGCAAAAAGGTAATTAAGACAACTTTATAATGTAATTTTCCAAAATATTCCAACATTCATAATGCTATGATGATACTGTATCTGGAAGATTATCATTTATATGTGCTTTAAGGTTAAGGGCATAAAAATGAAAGTAAGGTTTTTTGGGTTTTGTCTTAAGAATACGTTTAACTTGCCGCATTTGAAACCCAAAACCTTAGTTGCAGCTTATACTTACTTATATGAGGTATAGTCTGTAATCTGTTCTGTAACAAAGGATTTCAAAGCTATAGATTTGCTTTCTCACAAGATAATGGTAACAGAACTATTAGGTTCTGGATACCTTCACAAGATATTGTGTGTGCTGATTTCTCTGCTTTTATAGATAAAATTGTTCAAACTGATATAATTTCACATATGGATATGATGACCCCTTTGGCTTGCCATCGAGATGGCAGGTACTTGGGGGTTTTTTTGTTTCTGTTTTTTTAGTTGTTTGTTCCACTATGAGGATGAATTTTTGATCAGTGAAACTCTTTTACTCTGCTTCTACTTAAATCCAGAGATATGCACTTGGTAATGTCTGGTCAGAGATAAGGATTCATTTTGTGACTTCAGAACCAAAACATTAAAAGGTAGTCAGAGTGACATTTTTACAAATATTTACCTAAGTAATAATGAGGATATTTTACATTTAATTTCAATTGCTTACAGGCTAGGTATTTAATAATTTAGGAGACAAGAATATTTCCCTGTTTTCTAAGCTTTCATGTAAAAATAATGACAGCCCTTTGAAGTAAGTGCATGCTTACATACACAGTACTTGGGAGATTACATTGTCATTTTAAATGTATATGCTTATCATTTTCCCACTCAGCTTGGAAATTAAAAACAACAAAACATCCTACTCTTTAAGCCAGCCTTAACTTTCGTGTACTTGAAGTTCAGTAAGAGATTTCTCTTTTTAAAAAAGATCTGACTCTGGTATCCTTATATACTACAGGTGTTCACATAATACTGAATTAAGAACAAACCAATCAAAAACTTTGTCAAACCCATCATTGGGCATTGTTTACAAAAGAAACCAGGCAGTGAACTGTGTCCTTGTCAACTCTTTAGAGAGCATTGTTAGTAGATATAATGAAACATTTACGATAATTATAAAGGATTTGCAGATTTTCCTAAAACTGTAAGTAGACAATAGCTTTTACTAACAACATTCTCTGGATAAACTTAACTGACCAAATTTTTAAAACTTACGGAGTGCATCCCAGTCTTTAAAGCTTCATGATGGAAGCATACTGCTCTCACACATTTTAGCAAAATTTCAGTACCTTGCCAGAAATCTATCAATCTGTAACTGCTTCCACCCTGAACTAGGTAGGTAAAATTCAGTAACTTTGCCTAGAAACCATTATGCATAGGCATCAAAATGGAATACAAGTTTGTGCTATCGCTTGCATTTTACCGAGAAATGATGACTGATTTTCATGTAAATAAGGTAAATATTCGGAGGTTCATCATTCTGGCCTTGAGTGATAAAGGGGGAAAGAAATGTCATGTTGATTCCCTGAAAAAAAAATTTTCAGAAACAACTCACTGTACAGCTCTTTGGCATCAAGCACACTGAAAATGTTTATTTCTAATCTTTATAGAGTTTTTTAAAAGTGTTGCAAGTTCTAAAAACTGGCGAGGTAGATAAGAGACCATATTGATAAGAAATAGAGGATGAAGGGAAGCAGCTTGCTGGATTTACAGAACCTTCCACACAGGCCGTGCCCGTCACCGTGGCCTGTTCCCTCTCCCCCTCCCCACCAAGGGCAGCTTTAAAATGGAAAGACTTTTTTATAAGGTATTTATTGTTGCAGAACAGCCTGAACCCTAATGGGACAAGAAAATAATTTTCCCTGGCAGCACCCTTTCAGGAATGCATAAATATGTGTTCTCTGATAAAAATCTAATTCATTTCCTACGCTGTGTTCCCCCTCTCCCACAGATGATGACCTGGTTTAAATAAACCATTCTGTCTGACGGGTGAAGGCAACAGAATGTGAAGGGTATTTTTGTACTTGTCAGAAATGTTTTCTCGGAGGAACACAGTACCAATACAAATATCCGCTCCACTAAACTGCCTCAGGGAGTGAACTATGCTCAGTGCTTCCAAAAAATGTTGCAGTCACAAATCGACTGGAGAAAGAATTAGGCCATGGGGGGAGATTATATCCGAATTCAACTGTTGCCTTGGTTTTTGCCCCATTATGAAACTTGGTATGTTCTGTGCTCTCTGCACCTTGTTAAGCATAAACGTAGAGGCATTTAGGGAAAGTCTGGACCGGTCACTGAAGGGCAGCCTTGCTGGTTAGGTGTTTAGACGTCATTATACACCTGATACACACACACTGATTTTCATTGCGGTTCATATTTTATACTGTGGCTGCTGGAGTCATCAGTCAAACCACGAAAGCATAAATGAGGTGGATTACTATCTCAGGGCTTATAAGATTACCAAATATTGCAAACAGAAGCCTTGCTGCTTAAGCTGCTGGAAGTGGGAAATAATTCACCTGGCAACAATTTTAACATTAACTATAATGTGTGACATCTGTCCATATTTTCCGTGGAAAACAGGAAAGGCAATTTTTGAGAAATTTAAAGGACAGCACATTTTTTAAAACTCCAAGAATTATTTTCAGTGGTAAAATAGTGCTTTAAATCAGTAAGTTTCCTATGCATTGAACTTCACAATAAGGAATTAAATAAATCTGAGATTATTTTTCTAATCTCAAAAAAATAATGACTTCTGTATTATCTTGGCTTATTACTTTGAGCATATTCACTCCCCAAACCTGATCTTTAAGAAGATATTACATTTGAAGATGTTAGGGACTTAAAATCCCATTATCACTGTATTTAGGACTTTGCTGGGTCTGCAGAAATTCCCTTTTAGCCTGTCTCATCAAATTTACAAAGGTTTGCTTGCCCTCACTTCTTAGCACATACCTCTTGTGGTCACAAATAAGGCACAGGGATATTATTTCCAGTCCTTCCCTTCTTGAATGCCCCCAGCACCCCCTCCCTATGGGGATGTGACCTTATCTCTGCCATGTACCTTGAAATCAGAATCAGAATTTCTAAACAGTCACAGAATGACAATGTGATTTTTTTTTCCCCCAAAGGAGTTGCTTTTATCACTCCTGTCTTTTCCACCGGGATGCTGTATTTTTACAGTATCCTTTATACATAAGGCTTGCTAAATGTGGCCCAACTATGCTACGGATCCCTCTTTCTTCTGGACTTTAAAGGAATTACTTTAACTTCTTTTGCACTTCTGGTATTTGTAATTCAATATATTTAAACAAACGCAACAGTAATTTCCCTCACATTAGCATTATGCAAATGGACTTCTAAAAAATACCAGTTGCCTAAAGATACTTTATCCTTTAAAAAGGAATCATTTGCTTTAATATTTTGTTGTGTTCTATGGTTAAATTGTCTTCCTAATTACCAAGCCCTTAAAAATACTCTTTTCCACCCTGCTGTGTTAGTTTTGTTTAGTGGTTCCGATTCCTTTATGTAAGATGCTGAATAGTAACAGGAGATTTGCCAGGTAACTAGCCGGACTCTCATATTCTTAAAAAAATTCAAAAAAATTTCCGAACAGGGCGCCTGGGTGGCTCAGTTGGTTGAGCGACTGCCTTCGGCTCAGGTCATGATCCTGGAGTCCCTGGATCGAGTCCCACATCGGGCTCCCTGCTCGGCGAGGAGCCTGCTTCTCCCTCTAACCCTCCCCCATCTCATGTACTCTCTCTCTCTCTCATTCTCACTCTCTCAAATAAATAAATAAAATCTTTAAAAAAAAAATTTTTTTTCGAACAAAATAATACCCAGGTTTTATTTCTTCTGTTTTCAATGTAGTATACATGATGGGGTGTGCAATGTATGTGGAACTCTGTATCTTTTTAGATGAAACTCTCAAGTCAAGTTATCACTGTATTTTAAAGAGTGATTATACACCAAAAGGATGTTATTTACCAACATTTCTCTAAATGGTAATAATCAGAATAAATGTTAAGGACATCTGTATCTAGTGATCCAGACAGTTTATGATTTTCAGAGTTTGGAACTCGTTGTAAAATGGCAGAGTTCATTCTCTGGAAGAGAACTCTATTATTAAAGATGGCAGCCCGGCCTCCCTAGTGGATCCCACGGCTGAGGGTTGTGAATCCAGACACTCCTCTGTCCTAGAAGCACATAGAACGTTTGCAATTTCATTTAGTAGTTGGCATGCAGCTTCCTAATGTGAGGATTTCTATGGCCAGAGGTCACCTGTCATCACACACACACACACACACACACACACTTTTTAAGTGTTAATAACGTGAAAACACCTCATAGGACAATACAGGATGTCTGTTTTCCATCTTGAAATTTACCAGCACTTGAATATACATTAACATAAAATATCTGTTTTTTAATAAGTGCCCAAGTATGCAAATCTCTTACTGTTATATAGGATATTGATTACTAAATTCCCATCTTCTGAAACCAAAATTTTAAATACAACTTTTAACAGTTTCTTTGTCAACCCAAATCCTTTGATTTTACCCCAAAACATGTCTTCCTAAGTTTGCTATTCAGGATATTTGTTGATTATTGAAGATCTGTCTCTTATTGGACTCTACATTCTGGTAACCAAAGGAGAGTCCATATAAAACAAATATGCATGCTACTCAGGATTTGCCCTTGTGCTTAGACGTAAGTCTGAATGAAGTCTCCATTAATTTTTATTTGGATCCAGATGCAAAATTCCAGCATCTTGTTACTGAGCAAATGCACTTGCACCAGAGAAGTCTGTGTATCCTCGTATTATCAAACATCAAACAGGATGCAGATTTTTCTGACGCATTAAACATATCCCTTGGGGACATTTGAGTTCGTTTGGATGTATTTTCACCTTTAAAATGTCTGTATGGATGAAAAAATCTAACAGGCATTCAGATACCAGCAGAAAGTTCTAGGTAAATTAAGTAATGGGAGTAAAGTAGATGGAGCCCAAATAGACAGAAATAAATGTATTTCTTGGCTGAAGTCAAGGTACCAGAAAGACTAACTATCCACAACGTATCCTAGGAAAACAAGAATCGCCTTTCTTTTTCAGTTTTTCTAACTTTTTACTTAAAAAACATTTTTTTATTTTTATTACTGAAGTGTTGTTGATATGGGTTGTTATATTAGTTCCAGGTGTATAGTGATGCATCGCTTCCGTGCATTATCCGGGCTCCTGATGATAAGTGTGCTCAATATCCGTCCCCGCACAGCGTTGTTAGGCCCTTCCTGACCCTGTTCCCTGGGTGGCACTTTTCATCTCCGTGACGTTTACTGTATACCTGGAAGTCTGTACCTACAGGGAAGGAATCACTTCTCTTTAAAGTTTAAGGGATGTTCTATTTGGAGATTTTATTAGAAAAAGTCTACAACTGTTTGGTGGACCTAGACTTTGCGTCTTGTGCTATGGACGTTTGGCTTCTGAACCCCACTGTATCAGCTCCTCCCTTCGTGACTTGATAAGGACCGCTCTTCATCCACATCTTAGAACGCTTCACATTAAAACTGGGAGGCATGAGAAAATATAAAAATGAAAACGATGTAGCAGCACTCCTCAATCAGTCATCAGATTTGCAGAGCTGGCCCCTTCCGGGTTTACCATGATTGTGATAGCAGACATGATTTTAAATGTCCCACTCTCTCTATGGCACCCTACGTTTAAAAATAATAGTAGTAATACGTTGTTCTTTAGGCAGCTGAGTAGGGTAATCATGTATGACCAGAGGGACCCACTTGTTCAGATGTCACTTCTAAATGTCTGCCGTTTCCGTGATGTCCTTCACCTGTTGTAAAAGGCAGTTTTCTAACTGGAGGGGAAAAAGTCAGCCAGGCTGACTGGAGTTGCAGGACCAGGGAAAGGTACTTAAAGAGGCTTTCTCCTCATCTGGGTTCGGTCACTATTAACATGTCGTTCCCTTCTCTCCTGTATTTAATTTTATTTGCATTTCCTCCAGAGATCAAAAATAGCGGTGTACGAAAAGATGTGGACCTACATGCGATCCGCAGAGCCATCCGTGTTCACTAGGACTACAGCGGAGGGAGTAGCTCGGGTCCGAAAATCCAAAGGCAAATTCGCCTTCCTCCTGGAGTCCACTATGAACGAGTACATCGAGCAGCGAAAGCCGTGTGACACAATGAAAGTGGGAGGAAATCTGGATTCCAAAGGCTATGGAGTAGCTACACCCAAGGGTTCTTCATTAAGGTGGGTGGGATAGTATAACAATGTAACATGTGTTGTTATAATATTCCACCTTCCCTGATGTCCCCGACACAGTGATTTTGTTTTGTGTGTGAACATGGTATGTTCGTTTTTTTGTTGTTGTTTTTTTTTTCTTTTTCTCCATTTCATACGTTTTGATCAACAGTCAGGTAGTTTTTTTTTTAATTTGGAATAATTAATCCTAGTTGACCTGTATATCTTTGAAGGCCATATAAAAACCAAACTGGTTGAACACTAGCTGCCTCCAGTGGGCCTAAAACGTGGGTGGCGACGCTTCTGTGTCTCGTCAACTTTCTTCAGTCACTCAATTCTGCGCTCTCATTTTGTCAGCTAATGGTTCCACATTTTATCATGATTTTTTTTTTTTTAATTCTTCCTGCCCGCTAGTTTCTGAGTAACGAAGAAATCAGCCTCTTCCTAACAAACCACTTTTTTTTCCTCCATTTCAGTGTTTCATTGATTATGGCATCTTTATATTTTAGGTTAACCTGAGGTGGTATCAGAGTGCCAAGTTTGTGGCTGCATCTGTCCCCAGATGGGGTCATGGTCAGCAGGAAGCAGGCTCTGATTCTATGGGCTTACTCCAGTCACACTCACACCCGTTGCAAAGGGAGTGTGGTGTAAGTAAGATCTGTAAAATTAGACCCGATGACACTCCAGAACTGTTCACACACAGACCCCTGAAATGTGATTCATGAGCACAGCATCACACATGTGGATTACTCGGATAATCCACATGTGTTAAAGATGAGACTTTCGTTCTTAAGGAAATGCTGGTAAAATCTGCCCTTTTTGCCCTTTCGGTCCTGGACATAGGGAATTCACATGTTTATGCCCAGGAGGCAGAATATCCTATTTTCCTTAAGCAATAAAGGCTCCTGGTGAATTGCTGGGGCTAGAGCAAAGCCGGAGTCAGCCGTGACAACTGACAAATCAACCTGGTCTCAGTGCTGCTTAGGAGGGATTCGTACAAAGCACAGATTCAAGAAGAAATCAGAATCTTTGCTAAAGGACCTAACCACGAACCCGGTCTTGAGAAATGATGTCTCTGGTAAGCCTTTGAAATGTGAAAGTAATGAGACCTGTCCTGTTGCCCAGTAGGAATGAAAGCAACGTAAAGATGATATGATCGTTCTCATTGGTTTGAACAAGGGAACTGCAGCGTGCTTTGGATATGTGTGTTGGGCGGGGGGTGAGGGTGTGGATGACACAGATCCGAGAAACAGTAGCCCTGGAAAGTTGTGTTAAACCAGTATTTAGTGTTTGCAAGCAACACTGTAATAATTAGTGAGGGGTTTTACGGTGTGTCCAAAAGGGACCATTTTAAAAGGAGAGAGGATAAAATGAGCCGGTAAAGACAGACTTGGGTGTGGACTTTGGCAGAAAGTCATGTTTCTTTGCACGTACTTCCCGTATGAAACCAGAGAAATGTCCAGGGAGAAAGCCAGACCAATAAATTACACGTAACAAAATTCTACCCCAAAATGTTCCAACCATTCAGAAACTCAGACTGGCATCAGAGTGTTTGGTCTTCGAGGGTATATTTTGTAGGATGCGGTAGGAGAAACGTGTCATTTCGGCAAAGCCAAGGAGCAAAGAAATCTCTATTGAAGTAGGAGTTGTGAGAGCACCTTCGTGTAGCTAATTTAAAAGAACGGGAAGGGGAGAAAGCAATGGTGGTTGATATGTAGATCAGTGTTCAGACTATTGATTACATTCACTGGATGTCGCTTCTGCTCTTAATTAATTCTCTGTGGATGTAGCTGCCTTGTCCTCTGTCTTGTGTCTACTGATAAAGTCAAGTTCCAGGGACTGCATTTGGCCCTCAGATACGGGTGCGCCTGACTCCCATTGATGGCAAGAGTTCCCTCTTAAATGTGCCACTTTGTCAAATCCACACTACAGGGCTTGTTTGGGGAGACGCTGAAGGGCTTCATCTGTCTAGAACTGTATAATAATCCGCTATTGGCTTCCCCCTCTTTTCCTGTCCTTCCCTGGATCTTGTTAATGAGGCAATTGTTAAACCCAGCTTCCTGGATGGAGAGTTTGTTTATACGCTTTGTTTTATATATGCCACAGTTTCCTGAGCAAGCTGGCCCCTGCTTGCCAAAACCACAGTCCTTTTGTCCGGTCTTCGAGAACACTGGAAGAGCAGGGAAGGCTAACCAGCGTGCACCTTGCCCCCCACCTCCTCACTTCCCCACCCCCAGCCCAGCTACACGCGGGGCGCGCATCACGCTTAAGCTCTCATTCTTATTCGATGAGGAGCCTCAGTTTGAACAGAGGCAAACTCTCAGGGATGGACGAATAGGCACCTTCTGTGTAAAGGATTACTTTGTAGAAGCAAATTCAAAACAATTGCATTTATCACAGCAAGATCCCGAGGGCACATCTGCATCAAGAGTGTTGCCTTATTTGTTCAGTAGACTGTTTTCCTATGGGCTCTGTCTTTCTTTTAACCAAGTCTTTATGTTAATAGTGCTGGATACAGTGAGACTAGTCTGTTTCCTTGTCTTTCCCACAAACTCTGCTGTTGTGATTCACTGGGCAACATGAGACTTGAAGAACAGGAAAACGGTAGTCTTTCCTGCTACGTCAGCTGAAGCACAGAACGCAGACACATGGCTAACAGTCTTCCAGTGGTCTAGGGAGTCTCACGTTTCCGGACCTCGCTGTGTGGTCACCGTGCTTCACAATCAACGTCCCAGAAAAGAGGAAGACTGGGATATAGTAGAATCGGGATGGAAAGCCAGGACTTGGGTCTTCACTGTAGACCTGCAAACAAATGCAGTCTGGATCGTTGCAGAGCCTGTCTCGGTGCGTGGGGTAGAAAACACTGCAACAGGATGACCGGCACCTGTCTTTACGGGAGAGGGATAGCGCACAGAGCTCCTCGTTGTTCGAAGGGACTATTTCAGGCTCGTGTTTGCGAGGTTTACAGAAAGCTGTCAGTTACAGAAGCAGTATCCACGGTCAGGAATTATTGGGTTTCTTGTACTTTAACACAGATTTGTCAAGTTTTAGGTCACAGAAGGATGCTAGGAATGTTGATGCCGTTGGACGTCACATCTCTAGGTCTTACTATGATAAAGAGGAGCGATAACGGGCCGACGTGCCTACGAACTATCAGTACTGGGCAGTGGGGGAACTCAGATCTTACTGGCATAGCTATTTATTTTCCAAAGTCATCTTCTAAAGAAAACTTCAGTTCTCATTGTGAGATGAAAGGGTAAAATCTCTTCTTTCATATTATCTCTCAACTGTCCCCACGCTTTGATACTTCCCTCGAACCTTCTTTTCCTGTGCACCGTGCCATTTATATGACTCTCAGCGTCCTGGCCTTCCTTCTTGTTCCTTCTCCAATACCCTTGACACCCCAAAACAACTGTGACATCTGCCCTCTGGCTGAGAAACTTTCACAACACATGCTTTAGACAGCACCACGGTGGGAACGCAGAGTTTAGATGAGCGAGGCAGCTTGTTCACTTTGACTTTACTGTGAGTTCTGTCAGCTTCACTACACGGCAGAGACCCGCTGTCCATGGCATTTACTGTAGCGCAAAGCTGTATGCTTGACCACAGAAATACGGTCTTTACTGTGTTATCCCACTAGTTGCTGTACTGTACTACGCAACAAACAAAACCAACAGACGTTGTTCAGAGGGAATCGTAACTTGGTTAACACAGAGACGTACTAGGTACTAAACAGCTGTTAGGCGAGAAGACCCCTTTTGGAGATACTCCTGGTCCGTCGTATCTGTGAGTGCCTCCAGGGAACATAGCGAGGGAGCCTATTTGAAGACTTCCCCTGGCCTCTGTAAGAATTTGTAGACTCGACCCTAGTGTTTGAAGCCCACTTAAAAAAAAAAAAAATCAAAAACCAAAACAAGCACTAGTCTCCTATCTTCTGTTATTCTGCAGTAATAATTCTTCAGATTTCGCCTTCTCTAAAAATGTTGGCGAGACTGTGTCTAAAATAAGACAAACGCTCTGTCACCCCTCCAGAAAATGTTTCAAAAGAAAGCAGTTCCAAAAGAACTTGATCAGTAATTGAGATCTGGGGGCACAGAGGCCCAGTAGGACCTGCTACCCTCCCTTCTTAGGGAGCCCGTAGCAGCCGGAGCAGGACCTCAGCAGCCAGGCACGTGAGGTCAGCTCACGACAGCCACCGCCGAGCCCGGGGCCGTAGCGTGCGGGGGTGGGCAAGCGCGAAGCAAGGGAATCAGAGTAACACAGCTTCCATCCGACTCTTTCTTTCAGTCTTGAACGCAATCCCTGGCCCAAGTCTAGATCTCTGTCAGCGTGGGCAGCGTCCTCGGTAGGCCAAATCATGTTTCTTCCACTTTGGAGGATCCTTTAGGGCAGATGTACTAAACTTAGTATTCAGATCCACATGTGAAAAAATATATTATCCTTAAGGAACCACTTTCTCATGTAAAATTGGTGATAGGTGTTTACTCATCAGTTCACGTGTACTTACAAGGTCTAGAAACAAGGGGCTTGCTGGATGTTGTGCATGAGAATAAAGTTGATGTCTGTTTTCGATGTTAGTCGCAAGTCAACTGTTAGCATTTGATGTGGACATTAGAAAAGCTTAGAAGTACAGAAAGTTAAACCTGAGCGCTCATATTCCTGAGCAGCACTTGGCCTGAAGTGATTAAATTTTCCACTTGTTTTCAGAAATGAGTTGCAGTAGATTAGTACATGTTGGTTGGTTGGTTTGTTTAATTTTAACTAGTAGGAAAGGAGATGTTTTTGCATATAAATATCCTTTCTTTTTCTTGATGTCATAATGAGATATACTACAGGTAACTTAGTTTTTGTGATCCCATTACGACTTGGAATATCATCTGTTGGACTAAGGGTTAGAACAAACGCACACAAGCACACAAATCCCCCCACCCCCAGTTGTAATATGCTTAATGACTTACCCAGTTTCCTACCAGAGATGCTGGTGTTTATTGCAGGGACCAGGTAGTTTG